TTTCTAGATTACATATCTCATCCTGTAGCAGATTTCATGCACTTTCGATGGTGAACATGATGATGATGATGATGCTGGCTTTAATTCAAGTCCCAAGGCTTTCTCAAATACGACGCTATCCTTTTCTTCTGTAATAGCCCAATGTTTGTCAGAGCTTGAGTAACTGAGACGTTGAGTGTCCGCCTGCCCAAAGCTTAATCTCTTAGTCATAAACCGGGATGAAATAGTTTTTCCCGTTTTAGATTCCTACGGAAGGTCAGTCGTAACATTTTTTGTAATATTCTCTCTGGAGTACCTTGACCTGGAAGAACGTTGTAACAAAAGCGGTAAAAAAATCAGAATAACGTAATAATTTGCCAGAACGAATTAAACTTCGAATATTAACAACAATCACTTCGGTCAGTAGATATGTACAAGGGCAGCAATCATTTTATGGAGACCTATTCTGTACGAGGTTGGAATAAAACCCGTGAAAGCGGAGTCTTTTTTCAAGTGATTCCGCAGTGGCGTCGTGTCGCCGCTGTACAGTATATGTACAGTAAACTTATTAGAAACTTCTTTTCCTGACAATTTGGGAGCGTCTCTTTGATAAACGACTACAGGAAGATAAATTACGTTGGTTTAACGCTCATTTGGAAAGGCACGTCAACGATGACCTCGAACATTCTTTTTTCTCACCCCGTGTTGTTATCAGCGGCGTGATGCAGGAGGAACGATCGGAAGTTTCTCACCTGACCCGCTTCCGAAGACCATGAAAAGGTTCAAGACGTGCCGCGGGGGTGAAACGGAAGTCTACGGTTGTCTAGTGTAATCTGTTGAACCCGTAAAACAGTTTCGGGTTTATTCTAATAGGGACATGAGATGTAGGAAGTCGATTCTTTCGCGTGGTCTCATTCGACGGCGCTACCCGTGTGCGGGGATTACGTGTCCCTGCCGGCTTCAATCTGATTATTCAAATCTCGCCGCATTATTGCGTGGGTACTACCGTCACTCGACCTCGTTTTTCGCCATGCTTCTTCAAGCAGGCCAAGCCCGCTTCCTTCACTTCCGGGATGGCGCTCTTCCGAGTTGCGTGTTTCTTCGCGCAAGCTTGCCCTGCGGTGCGACCAGGATTCCATCTCCCCCTTGAACTCTCTGAAGCTTGTGCTTGGGCATCCATGCGGCGGTCATTGCTCATTTCCATCATCTTCTGCAGTCTATCTGGGGGAAAACCCGCCCGTGTGGAGTCGAATTTTCGAAAGAGTTCTTCAAGACATTCCTCTCGCTGTTGATGAATAGAATCTGGGACACAAAACCCACGGACTTTCCCGGGTCTCAAAAATACTGTACTGTGTTACTCAGGTGTACGGGATTGAGCGCGTTTGCCCGAAAAAAAAAATGTTCGTCATTCAACAGATGAAATGATGACCTCGCGTAACATTAACGACATTCCAGCAAATCTCCGAGTACAGTCATCAACCCGGATGATACGAGTCTTTATCGCGCATCAACGAGGACTGAAATATTCCATTCAAGAAATAAAAGTTCAATGATTAAAAGATGCGCAAATTTTCGGATTTAGTTCACTTACTGAAGGGATCTTGATTTGATCTTTCAAATCAAGTAATCAGGGAAATGAAGCGGCTCCAATTACCAATGAACGAGCAGGTTTTTCCTCTGAAAGTCTGCATAAATTGAAGTCTGGGATTGGTTAATCGAATATATGATTCATTTCGCTTCCAGGATAATCACAGTTATGTCCTATCATCATAGCTGATGGAAGTATAATGCCGTCTGGTTTCTCCACCGTCGGCGGAAAAATTCACTCAAGAGGTGCTCAATATTTTCTAAAGTGAAAAAATATGGAAAATTATTTTCTAATTATTCAGACGTCGCTGCAGATGATGTTAGCCATGGTTTAGACGTTCAGTGGTATCCAGACCTTACATAAACCGTTCTTCGAAACTGACACGTGGGTCAGTGTTAAACGTAAATATTGCAGTGCTCAACGATCGCTAACTTTTTTCTGGGTTCATGGATATTAGATGATTTGGAAAATTATGATCCATTTTTCAATCCGGATCAATCGAATGGATCCAATCTAATCTACGGTAGTTATTTAATGATGTTTCTTGATCTAATTATCTAATGATTTATAATGAACCAACTACCGTTTTACAATATTCTCCTTCTCGCAAAAACCAGATAAAGCTCATATTTTTCAAGGAGCAATGATGCAACCATTTTTTTGTCCGAATTCGTGCCATTCGGAAACGTTCACGTGCCTCATTATCCAGTTTAAATATTTTATCGTAAAGAGTGAAGAAACCGAATGTATTTCTCGATTTTTGGAGATGGATCATGTTTCGGATTCCTCTTGTTTGTCTTCGTCTTTCGATGACCGACGATGCTGCGCTTTCCTTATTTATCGCGTGTGTGCATATTTTACTCTTGCATAATTTTTGAAGCACTTGGAAGCGCCATTGATTTAGAGTTTGTTTAGTGCTTATAAAAACGACCGCACAATCTTGAACGTCATGCAAATATCTCGTCTTTTGAGCTTTCGTTAGCTGCATTAGTAAAATATTGTACGCCCATCAAAAAATGGCCTCTCTCCAGTTTGTTGCAAAGCTACTCAGCATTTGTCCTCCAACGAAATTATTTCTAAATCACGGAAACCGTTCGCTGCAAATGCGGTAGATATCATAAAAATGATTGTACCTTGTAGTCGTATTTCTCGAAACTGACGTCATGGTCTTTGTTTCATAATGCCGCCGCGTTACGGCAGGAAAACAAGGCGATAAAGTTCCACAGTTTATGTTAACGGCCGGAAAGCGTTAAAATGAGCGTCTAATAATTTTCTGTTCCAACTGTCTGTCGAAGCGTTGCAAGCTGCTTGTACAACTCTCAGTCGACAGTTTGGGCACGAATGTTACACGAACTACTGAAAAGTACTCCCCCATAGGCATTGAAGACGTTTACGATCGGAATGTTGGACGAACACAACAGTTATTGACGTCGCCATTGATGATGTTGTCCAAGCACAGGCTCTTAGAAACACGGGTTCAGTTTGTTTTCTTCAACGTTTTTTGATTCGGCCAGCCCATTCGCTATTTCTTGCATGATTCAAGATTAATTTTCTTTAAATTTTAAGAAATTGACTGAAAAGCTCAGAAACGACCCGTGTATAGTCGAGGTACAGTATTGGAGGATATTGGACCGGAGTACTATAATGACTAGAAGGACGTGCCGTCTATGATAGAGATCGTGTGGATGAAAAGCGATAAAATCCGTAGGAAATCTGACCGAAAAAATCTTGCCTTAGCAGGAAACGTTCGCTGGAGTTCCCCCGCCCCCTCCTTTTCCCCCAGTGTTTTCTTTTGTCATTATGGTGAAGTGACCAGGTTCATTTATTTGTTGAAAAATTCAAATTTTGATTGCATTTCGTGAACTACCGTGTTCTGCGTGTAAACTACAGTAATGTGATGTATTATCCGCATTGTTGTCCGCCTGAAAAATAAGTAAAAATTTGCTGTGGGATGCGCAAGTTTCCGCAAATATAAAATTAGGGGGCGGCTTGTGATCGGGTGAAAAAGGTTGCTTCTCGGTCAATGAGAGGCGCCTTCTGCTAATTGTTGATGCGCTATCCGAGACATGAAACAAATTCCGAATGCCATCAATATTTCGTTCACTTGAACATTCATATTCTTGAAGAGGCGCGGAATCATCCGCCGAAAGTGGACATGCTTTAAATACCTCCTAAACCTTTTTACTTGCTTGAAAATCATTAAAAAAAACCCCGATTCACACTCGTCTGCGCGAATTGCGAGCTAGGTTGAAATGTCATCGTGAGTTGATGCTACTCTCTTCTCAGAACAAAGTCGAGCGATAGCCGCAATTGATCGTGACTCTCGCCTTCTGCCAACTTTCCTTCCGTTGCTTCGAACACCTGGCGAGGAAAGGTATCCGATGTTAATCTTTGTAATGGGAACAACTCGGGGGAAATTTCGCGCAGCTTGGTCGATTTCTTGCGTATGACGCAGCAGCGGTCTTCCGCGTAGCAACGACTCGACTTGGGCATTTCTTGCGCCGTCTTCCCAACGCGACTGTTTTTCAAACAAAAAATAATAATTCCATCCACTTCTGATGTATAAGATTTTTTGACCTAACGGACGTCAAGCCATCCTCGAAGTTTTTATTTCATTTTATTTTAGTGTGTCGTACTCGTTGAAATCGACGAGACCACCCAGGTCATATTGTGGAAGTATAATTGCTCAGTTGGTCAGAACAAGAAGGAATCTGAATGCTAGAGGCTAACGCTTTGCGATGAACGTTGCCATCAGTCTTTACGGACATCATGTCTTCGTTTTGGAAAAGTTTCGAACTCGCTGAAAGCATCGATATCTCACAGGACATATTACTGAAGTGATAGCATTTTGTGTGTGTGGAAACGATGCTGTTTCATAATGCTCAGAAGCATTGCTTGGACATGTACGCTGCGATTTAATTCAATCCGTCGAATTTTCAGACTCGTCATATTTCCGTGTCCAGAGATGGCCTTCAATTTTTATGTACCGGATTCGCTTTTTCATGAGAAATGATTCAAATTATGTTATTTGGTAGGAAAATTCAACTTCCTGTGACGGGGAAAAATTGCGATGCGCTCCAGGAAAATCAACGTACAAATTACAGTAATTTTATTCACGAAGTATAAATTTAGCGATGGTATCATGCATATGGTTAATAATAAATATTGTATTTTCAAATTAAAATACAGGACATAAAATGTGAATAAAAAGGATATGTAATGGGCTCAAGAAGTGACGAGTATGACCAAATAATGTAATCAAGGACTTTCTGTGTCCATAGAACGCATGGTCAAGTGTACAAGGCTGAAACATTTTATGACGTGAGGCGGGGTCAGGAGAAAATGTCGCCATCATGGGGAAATGGCAGCAAGAGACAATGTAGGAGATGACATTCTGTGTCGTCCGATGTATCCGTATTTTTCATAATTCCTGATGGAGAGATCCGCTGATTCAGAACAAATCCCAACGCAACAGTTTGGACGTAAATGTACAGTATTTCAGTCAGATTCCTTTTTTACAAATAATTTGCTTCGTTTTTTCTCTGCCAGTTCCGTTCTTCATTAAATTAATTTTTCCGTTAGCATTCATTCCCGACCGTCCATGTACTGTAGTAGAATTATTTGTAAAAAAAAGTAAGTTTTTCTTGTTCGTTTTAAAATAAAAATATATATTTATAATATTTTAAAAAGGTTTCATAATTTAAAAAAATTATAAATTGAAATGAAAAGTTAAGGATTTTTGGTTTGATACCAAGTTAGATCGTTTCCCTGTGTCAAACTGACTTCCACGCAGTTTTCACCATGCCAACATTTTCTCATGGCGCCTGTGTGACATTGGATGGGAGTCCCGAAGTAACGGGGTCGAATGTGGAAATCATTTCCCCGTATGGGCTCACAATGATCAGGGACATTTGCAGAATTCTGCATAAGGGAACTTCAGTAATCGTTTCTAGGATGGATTTCTCCACCTGAAAGTTTTCTTGACACTTCGCGAAAGAGAATAACAAGATCTTCGAAAAAAAGTCAAAGTGATTCCGTGTAAACCTTTCCTTGTAAGAGCCTAGCGTACTTGATTATAGGCTGCGACCCGACTTTGAACTGTCATTTCAAAACAAACGAACAAATTACTGACCGCAGGAACATAAAGAATTGTCTGGTGGGGGAAAATGATGTTGAGACTGTACGCACAAAAAGATACAGTGATTGCAGTTTAACAGTTCAACGTCGGAAAATGTGAAATATGTAAAGATTACAATGGGCTTGGTTTAATAATTTTTTTACTGTACCATTAACTAATAACGGTCAGGGAAATGCCCTTGTGAAGAATTTCCTGGGTGTTTTTCCTACTGGAGGTTTTTTTTTTCCATGAATATTTTCCTGCTTCCATCCACCTGATCTTAAGTAAAGGCCACGCGAATATTTTTCAGAGGATCTTTTTGAGAAGTGTGGCACATGATAGAATACAGTATTCACAGCAGTTAATTTTTTTAGATTTCCTCACGGCCTGAATTAGCTCCGGCAGGAAAACCGCTATCAGAACGATCGAAAACCTTTCTTTTTCTACGCTTTTAGAAAAATAAAAAAATATCTAGGATACTTCGACTTCGTTCACATGCAGCGATGTACTGTGCTGTCAGTGAAAATGGTTCCGAAAATACATTTTGACGAATTTAATAAATTATTAACGGAACAAAATTAAATCGTGGCCTGTTTTCCGAAGCCACTATCCGTAAAAAAGTTTGCAGCAAATACCTAAACGGGAATGTACATAGGCTGTTATCCGAAGCGGCCGATCAGCGGGGTGGGAGTAAAGGGGCCCCAATTACCAAAGGAGCGCGCGATGTTTTTGCGAAAGTTAAGTTCACTTGCTAACAATGCGCACTTCGACGCTTTCAAAATAAGTACGACGCAGAGCCTATTACTTACTACGTAAAGAATTCATTTCGGACGATTATCTTTTCTTCACCTTTCTCTCCGCTGTATTTTCTTCTTCTTCTTCTTCTTATTATTATTAATTTTTTTATTTATTCATTAGGAACGTCAGGAAGATACCTCTCCTCGTTTCGATTGACTCTGGCCAACGTATCGGAGACGGAATGGCAGAAAAACTCCTCCCCGATGCCGATGACGTCGCTGAGCTTAGAGACAAGCATCAGCGAAGTGTTCATTGTCTTCAAGAACGCGTCAAAGACAGTGGAGACTTCGAGCGCTGTGCCCGTGACGGCGGCTCCCACAACCGCAATGAGTCTTTTGGGTGACGAGTTTCAGATCGAGGCTGAGGACTTGTGTGAGACAGACACCGACATGGAAATCTTGCTCACGATCTTGATCACATCCGCACCCACTCACCAGGTACGAAACAGTTCTTTGTATGATGTAAAAAAAAAGAAAAGAACGTATGATGGATTCCGAACGCTCCCGGCGCCGAGGCGGAACGAGATTAAAATATTCTTGAGACATGTTTACGCTGTTCTTCGCGTCAGTGTCGGTTGACGGGCGACAAAAATAGGCGGCGATTGTCCGAAAACTCAGATTGCCGCATGATTTTCATCAATGCAAGGTGCCATCAATTCTGCGGACGCTCCTTTATTTTCCATCCTTTCAAACAGGAATAAAAGTTCAACTGGAGAATCTGGGACGCTATTGCCACTTTTTTATGATTAACGTTTTTGCACAGGATGAACAGACCCTCAATTACAGCGTGCAACGCATTGGGATTAACACATTTGAAGAGAGGCAAACTCAATTTTATTTCAGGCTAAATTAATGTTTGAATCGGTTTTATGACGATTATGTCACTTTAAAGGCAAATTTTATTTATCGCTTTATTTCTCTAATATGTATTTTTAATCATTTGTTTCCAATGTTCAGGTCAGATTATGCTTCAAACCAATTTGAAGGAGTCGGAAGATGCTAAATGAGATGAATATGAGTATTATGACCCATGTGAATGGGTGCACATTTTGGACAACTCTATGATCTGTTATTTAGCATGAAGTGATTGAAGTAAAATTCAAAAGTAGACCCACATTTATCCCAAATAATGATTCGAATATTTTTCGAACGCTTTATTTCAAATGTATATTTAGCAGAAAAAACGCAATATGCCTGCTTTCATAGAGAACCTGACACCTTGTAAAAATTATAATCCAGTTAGACCATTTTTGGAACGCAGTATGTGCTTCCGTAGAAAATCGTTTTCGAGCACCCTGTCATTAGCCCGGATAATTGGAGCTCTACTGTATGTTTTATCGGTTCTGTGCTGCGATTAAGTGTCATTCAATCGCCTCAGGTACAGCGGAACACAATCCGCCAGACCTGGGGCCATTTCGCGATGCGACGTGACATACGGATAGCTTTCGTCGTCGGCGTGTCCGGGAATCAAAAGGTGGAGGACCAAATAGCAGAGGAAAGCCGGCTCTTCCGGGACATCATCCAGATATCCCTAGTGGACAACTACTTCAATCTCACGTCAAAAGTACGCTCCATGCTGCGCTGGACGTCGGTGCACTGCAGCAACACGCAGTTCCTGCTGAAGACAGACGACGACATGTTCATCAACATCCCCGTCCTCTTGGACTTCCTGCGCAGTCGTGCCAATATTTCGAATGTGATATACGGTCGGATCGCGACCAAGTGGAAGCCGGCGCGGAGCAAGAAGTCCAAGTGGTTCGTGTCCAAGGGGGAGTGGGAGTCGAAATTTTACCCGAACTTTGTGACCGGGCCAGCCTACTTGATGACGTTCGACTGCGTGACCAAGTTGCTTGCAGCTGCTGAGGGGGTTCCACTACTCAAGTTGGAAGACGTGTTCACCACTGGCATTCTGGCGGAGAAGGCGGGCATTCGCAGGGAAGGGGTGAAAAAGTTCTCCAACATACGGCCGAAGATCAACAACACGTGTGCGCTATCCAAGTTGATCAGCGCGCATGACATCAAGTCGAGCGAGATGTTCGATATCTGGAGGCGGCTGCAGGACCCAGGCAGGAAGCCCTGCAAGGGTTGATTCACGCTTTCCATGCCCCCCACCCCCGCTTCTTCGTGTGTGCCACTCATTGATGGTGGAGATGGAAACCTGGAGGCACAGTTTATCGGTAAATGTTCGTCGGGACGCTTTATTGTGTGTGTAACGCACGGCGCGGTTACCGACGCTACGAATTTTTCTACGTTTTCACGTGAGAAGTCGAGTGAGAGTCCTTTTTTGTTTTTTTTTGTTAATGTATATGTTTTTCGACGTGGCTTCTGCCTCTTCAGAAGGCCTCAGAAGTCAACCGGATTCGGAAAAGAATCGGCGAAATTGCTCGCAAAACGTGTCGCGATGCATTTTGGCGATCGAATAAATTGTGTATTGAAAAGAAAAATGAGCCTCTGTCAAATTTGTTGTTTTGTTCATCAGATCCGACGTTTCTTTTGGTGCAGCGAAAAAAATTACGCGGATGGAAAATATCTTGGGTACAAGAATCCAGCAATTCACGGGATTGAGGAATTCTCCAACAAATAAACTTATTTTCTTCGGGAAATACTGTAGATCGGAACGAAGCATATCGGGTTATGAATTTCAGGTCAGCTCAAGGTTCTTGAGGTCATTGACTAGAGAGCATAGAAAAACGTGTAAGAGCTTGAAAGAGAGTATCTACGATGGACAGTCAATCGCCGCAGAGAGTATGTAAACGAGAATAATTTTCTGCATGAATTTTTCCATCGTTGTTTTAGATACAGTCCAATCCCGATTTCCTGCCATCATTTGTCCTGGCACATTTTGTGGCATTAAGCGAGGATGGTAATAAATCGGGGCATTGTGTCAGAATAAAATTAATTTGCGGGCTTTTACCATAGGTCAAAAAGGTTTTTATGCAAAATTGTTAGGCCATTGAGTCGGTTTATGAAAGAGAAAGCCACACACAGGAATTAGAGGCTCAAATGAACCATTTTCACTGCATATCAATTTATTTAAAAGAATGTACAGCATTCAATTTTATTTCATATTGGGCCAAGTAAAAGAGTTTCAAAACTGTTTCTTGCAGCTTTTCTTAAACCTTTCAATGAAAGCATACAATTCCAAGTTGAGGTGGAGTAACTTTAATTTTTTGAAGAGACTAGACCTAGGCTTTCAAGTGCTCTTTGCTGCAGAAAACATCCAAATAAAAACACCCAATTAAATGTATATTCAGAAATATAATTTTCAAAATTATCGTTAGCATGGACATGTTATTTTCAATAATGACCTAATGATTACCCCAGGATATATGGCTTAATTTCTCTGATTCTGTTCAATTTTTTTTTATTTAGATGAAGGAATTTTTTGTGGCACTAAGGGAATTGGCACAAAATCAGGGTTTCCCTTAAGAGCACAACAGAGGGAGATTTGCTCTACGGAAATTGGTGGCACTAAATCAAGGTTTGACTGTATTTGTTTTGTTAGTGCTGCATTTTTTTCTGGGGACCAAGCCATGGCTCTTCATCTGAGAACTACAGTATTTTGATGCAAGAATACGGTTTGTACGATTCAATGAAACGCAAAGAAGTTCGTACCGCTGGATTTCCACATTTTCCGTGATATGGGATTAACTTGAGAATAATGTCGGCTTTGCAAGATTATTTCGCCGCGTTATTCCCGCGCGTCACGCGAGCTCATTACCGCAGGATGTGAAGGATACACGCTGGGCGTCCAGCGTATGTTGCACTCTTGGCTTCGTAATGATCCGCTGGAAACATCAGGTTAAAGCAATGAATGGCCTTCTCGCAAAGCAGGAAGTAGGAATAAACAGCATCATATTTAGTTGGATTCCTCTTGTCCTGAATGTTGGTCAAGGTTAATCAAAACAGGGGGTGCACCTTTAAAGCATCATTCATGTACATGCACCCGAGATGAAAAAAGATCGAAGTACGGTATAGTATAGTAGAAACTGAAATTATCTGAAATGACTGCTGGATTCTTTCATCCTGAGATTAAGACATTAATGATAATCAATAAAAAAAAGTTACACAAAGATGAAAATATGTACTCAATATTGACCTTATACGATGAACGAGGGGTTACACGTTTCGCGCGGACTTGAAACGATCTGAACACAAGGGATTTTTTAGAACATTTTCTCCTGTTCACTAGACTACTAGAGGCTAGGTGCAGACACCTTCTCAATGTAATCACCACCAATTTGTACAAACTTCTCAGCTCTTTTGATCCATGTGTCAAAAATAAAAGCCTTGAAATGTTCAGTTGTTGAATTGTTGAGCTCTTCCAGAACAACAGGAACAAGCTAATCCGCGCGGAACCGTGTAACCCCTCGTATACTGTATGTTACTAACATCCTAGAAGATATGGACGATCTTCTCGTTTCTTGGTATACCGCACCTTCATCGACTCTTCTATTACAAGTTCGTGATTTGTATTTATTGGCTCCTCAAAATCATAAATATTATCTTTCTGATACTGTATCTGATACATTAGCTTTTCATGTTTAGGCGCTTATTTGTGCAAATGAACTTCCGCGTAGACGTCAAATCGATCTGCAGAAATTGAAATAAATGGAATTAAAATCAAATCCGCCACATATTTCCTTCGATTCGTTTTGAAATTCTTGCGAGATTTTTCGATTTCTTGGTTATTCGAGGTTTTCTTTCTCCACAAAGAATGTGACGCATAAAATTGCAAATCAGGGGCCAAAAAATGAAAACTTATTTTGTTCTTTAACTGTCCCTGTGTTGGAATGTCTGCTTTTGGAAATGAATTTTCCCGTATACTGTACGTCAATGGGAACATTTTAAATAACTTCCCGTGGTTCGCAAAAAAGAGAAAAATTCATCGAAAAAATCAATAAAAATGTTTTTATCGACTTTAAAACTCAGAAAAACAATTATACAGAGGAATAGCGCGCCAAATCTGCCCTTTCGTCGAGAAATTGAGACCAAAAGGCTGGAACAAGCACAAATATTGCTGTACAGGACACACTTGATGCAAGCCCTCGAAAGAGAAGTGAAAAAGTAGCCTGCTTTGAAAAACAAATTCGAGGACATTAACAATTAGATTCTTTTCAACAGTATGTCAATAGAAAAATTAGGCTGACAGATTTCCGAAAATGGAGCATATATTTCATTGTTGTAGAAATTTTGGCGAAGTTTACAAATCTTGATACTATACATTGTTCAGATTTAGAGGCAGATTTTCCGAGTTTGAAAAGTCCATAAATCGAGTTTTCTGCAAGTTGGGGCTCCGCTTACTTTAAGAACGGCGAGAAAAGCCTAGGAGTAGACTAGCTTATCTGAGGATCATTCCCAGCTTATATTTTTACAATTTATGAATATGGGAAAGATCATACAACCGCATCTTACAAAGAAGGATGAAAGCGCTTTGGGTTTTTTCTGGCTTCTGCCTTAACGCAAATACGAGGAAATTTAGCAAATATTTCGTGCTTCTCGGATCACAAATTTTCCATCGTTGATATTTGTCTTGGGTTGAAGCTCTGTCGGATAACAACACGCCGCTGCAGTATTTCATTCTATATTATAGGTAGAAATACTATACGTTTGGAAAATATTTATTAAAAATATTCTTTGCTTCATCTTTTGAAAAAAAATTCCATTGAGCCTCAAATGGACGGAAACGTAATCGGTTCGCCTTGCTAAAATCTTGGAAGTTAGAAGCCGTCATACTTCTTGAAGCATTTTGCAACACATGGTGCGTTGTTCGAAATACATGCTTGAAAACCATCAGCATGTTTTAAAAATAATTTGTTTGGTACGAATGCCATTCATTCCTGTTTGCGTGGTGAAGACGAATACACAAATGGAAGGTAATCCTTGGACTGGGCCGCGATTACCGATAATTGAATACCATGAATGGAGACAATGCCACGAACTTATACGAAAGGTCAACTATTTATTGACAAGGATGAACTTGGAAATCGTTCTTTTTGAGGAGTCTGTCTTTGTTCCAGCGAATCTTCAGGCCTTGAAGCTATTTACAAAGCGATCTCAGTGGGGCTTCACCGCAAGGAAGAGATAATCGAACCGTGCTTGTCAGCTGGATAAAATTACCGGGGAGTGACGTCAATTTTCTGAATGAACTCGGGTCGAGCGGAATGCATACAGTAGTTCAAACCTTCCGCGCATTGATCGTTGCACGCCTTGACTTATTCCTCTGACTTTTTCTGGTACATTTTGTCCTTCATCTGAACCCGTATCCGTGGTTCGTGATGAAATCATTACATATTTACAAAGGATTACATTCAAAAACTTGATGAGCCCTTGATGGACGCAAAAAATTCGCTTTCAAGTCGCGTCGCCCGAGATCCATCACTGACTCATAATTGAATCCACTTCCGTATGCTCATTCAATCACTCGTGCAAAAATGATTTTCCAACTATAAAAATAGCCACGAAACGAAGCTCTCCGATTTTGGCAATCGTGAAACAAAATTTGAGAAAGGGATCTTGCGAATAAAGTTTCCTTTCGTTGAACATCTGCCGTTTTTACTTTATTTATAACGACATCTAATGCAAAATGAATACGAAGGCATGTTAAAAGTTAAAAAGTTATCTAGATGTCGCTCAAATAGATAATTTCACCGCATATCGGTCCGAATTTCATTCATTTAAACCGACCTTAGCGCTTAATTACCATACCGTTTTCACGTGATTATACGATATCCCAAATATCAAAATGTGTGTTGTACTATAACTAGTGCTGTTAAGCCGTCCATGATCCACTCCTGGCCTCCTGGGTAGAAGTATTACACTCCAAAGGTGGGTTATATCTCTACAAGGAAGTTCAATAAATAAATCGTGTTAGCAATAATTTTATTGTAGAGAACCCATAAAACTCAGAGAGAGAGAGAGAGAGAGAGAGAGAGAGAGAGAGAGCCATATCGGCCCAAGAAAATACTGCTACACAGATAATATACTGCTGTAAACAAGATCGCTGCAGAAAAAGTCCGCCTATATTAGAGAATGAGCCGCATCAGTCCAACTGTACGTGGAATTAAGTCGAGATTATTTGATATTCAAAAATAAGTAGAACGCCTTTCGGAAAGTTAACTTTTTCTTTCAAATCACTTCTCAAAAGGGAAATTGTGGCCAATAATCACATAATTACGTCGTGTAGATGCACAATTAATGCGAATAAGCACATTCGAAAATCAAGTGCCCGAAAAGATGAATATTGTGCAGTGCTTTATTCTGCTCAGGTCAGTGTTCAATCATGATTTAAAGCCAGGTAATTTTGCGCTCGTCGGTTCAAATGTCACGGGACATGAATTTCGAATTCCACACGGAAACCGTGCCGCAAGAAAAACAGCGGAATACGGCAACAATAAGGGATATGACCTTATATTCAATTCTTTCCAGAAAAAAGCCCCATCAACGGTGGGTTTTCTTTTGCTTGCCCTTTTTGATCCTCACTCGGCAATCAGCATCCTTTGTCGGGGTCAATTTGGAGGCATTTCCATTCGCGCCAACCGCTGCTGTGATTGCGTCTTGAGATTTTTGAATTCCCAGTCGGAAACAATCAAGATCTTTCCTCAGTTTCGCTCCTCTTGAGTAGTAAACCAATGCGTGTTCGTAATCCCCACGGCAGAACAGGGCTTCTGCTTTTTGGAATATTGCTGAGAAAATTCAAAATTCAATGGTACTTATACCAAACGCTTGCATAATTTCACGAAATGCGATCAGGGGAAATGGGCAGCAGCGACATCTAGAAAACAAAAACTATGAGTTGTTATCATGGTGGACGGGATCGAAGTTCAGGGAGTGTCGCCGAATTTTGTACTGAATCTGCAGACGTACCGGCAACGGTACACGTCTGCAACGAAGATTGATTAAGAACAAATCATATCTTCGTTGCATTCTTTGATGGTGAGGGATGATACATAACATATCATGGAGGTGGAAAATTAGATGAAAATTTTTAAATTCTGCAAAATCTGTGAAAATTCAGTTGATGGAGATGAAATATACTTATTTTCTGCACACCATCGAAAGTATAGGAAGGAGATCAACGCACAGCAGTTTATTTCGGTGAAACTATGGATTTGGAAAACATTGGTGAGGTGCCATCATTTCGAAAGCCGAATGAAACATTGAATTCTGTGTAATTTTACGTCAGCTGATCATTTGTAGTCTGAAATTTAGAGCACGAAATTGATGTCACGTAGAAACAAAAAAGTAATAATTAACACCGTTGCGCATACTTAGGACTGTCTGTACTACTGTCTGGAATTTAAAAATTTGGAAATCATAATAAAACCTGGGAATGCTTGGGAGAACTACCATCAATTGAAATTGAGAGCCAACAGATAATGTATAACGAAAAAAATATGGCAGGGATTTCGAGCAGCTCATCAGAAGAAAAATTTGAAATCATCAGTTCAGTTTTCATTCAAAAACTGGGTAGAAGATCATCAGTCTAAATCAAAACTTGGTTAATTGAGGGTTTTGAATTCACTGCATTTTATCTGCATATTTCATACCTAGAGTTTTATTCATAACCTTATTCAGGGCCTATTGTTATAGTACGTACTTTCCGCATAATAACCACAAGGAGGATATAAATAAATTTAGTGCAGTATTCAGTGATGGTTGCATCAAAGATTTTTGAAATTGTAACTGGAAAAGTAGAGCAAGCATTGAATTACAATGTATTTGATTCAAACCAACCGCACCAGCATTGCTTCGGGAACTCTCTGCGATACAAGTAAAACTGACTCCTTCCCACGAAAGCAGTACTTCTCATGGTGCGATTTTGGGGCTACTATACTGTCAGAGATGAAAAAATCGAGTACTGTGAGAGCTGCTCTAAATGAGCAGCTCTTTTGCTCAACTGAAGTGTAAATAAGAGTACAGTTTGTCCCGATAACAAGATCGTGGGTGGGCCGAATTAACTTTCTCAGCTTAGTTTTTTGGTTTCGTCAAATCCTGGAGTTTAATCTACGTAAGTAACTTTTCTCCGCAACCCAAAAAATAAATAATATGAAAAGGGTGACTAATAACATTGCGTCTCTAGCGTCATTTCCGGAAATAGAATCGACCTCTGGTCTACTTCCAACGTACGTACGATATATTCTCCCTAGGCTTTCTGAATTCACAATGATGAACCGCGACGTTCACTTACCCTGATGAGAATTTTTCTCAATCTGCAACGCGGCCTCTGCGTCTTTCAGCGCCTCGTCAGTATTCTGAAGGCGAAGATAACATTTGCTCCGGCCCACTAGGCATTCCCTATTCATTGCGTCGATCTCCAAAGCCTGTAGCCCGCGCAGGAAAGAAAGAAAACATCGCGACATACAGAATACGCAATTTTTCAAGTCGCATCACAGAAATCAGTCTGTCAACTCTAAGAGGATTCCCTAAAAAAAATTAGCCGTGGAAATGAATTAATTAATTTCTGTCCGACATTTCATGACAGTTTTTCCTCGTTGACGGGCTGCTCATTTCCCCGTGAAAAATGCATGATCTACTCGGATGCGGCCTAACAGTTTTTGAGCATAGGACGGACAGCAATCACATAGTATGTACGGCCTATACTCGAGATTATTTGATATCTGCGACAACAACCCGAACTATATGAGGCGTACAACAGGCAAAGAAAAGCCCCACTGAATCATCCTGGAAAGGCTTTCAAATTCCCCCTTTGCTGCTCTCATCTAGCCTCAATGTGAAAACAACTATGGTATACAACCCCTATCGACATTTTTCTCAAGAAAATCAGCTGATATGTGTATTTCCAGCGACACAATTTCCTTAAAACCATATTTTTGCTGTCGATACCCTAGCAAAATCTTGCTTGAGCGATGCCTGCAGTCGCAATCAAACAGTCCACAATTTCGTAAATCTTTTGGACCTGACTCAAATTTCCAGCATTTAGCAAGTTGTCCACAATATAGTCGGCGGTGCCCCGTGAAATTTTACAAGTTTGTGAAATTTAGACAGCACAGGAGATTAATTTTGAATTATTTTTCATGCAAACTCGGGCTTTTCCATATCTTAGTATTATTTCTCTAAAAAATGAGATCCCGCGAAGGAGGGACGAACCATAGTCATGTTCTAGCTCGACCATCGTTCATGTCTCCTCTGACAATTTGTAATCTCTGAATGACACGAACAGATTTAATCGCATCCAACCCCCTCATGCAAATCATGAATGAAAAATGATCCAGAAGATGCTTAGTTAAAAAAAGAGTCAGAGATCGACGGGCAGACTTGATTCACCTTCTCGGGCACCGTCTTTCGCACGGATTTTATTTTGATGCACTGCGGACGAAGGGAAATTTATGCGTCGGAAAATGAAAGGTCAGGCAAAAGACGACTGTGGTCTCACGTCGCCCGTCTCGACCTCATTCGCCTCCGCAATGACTACATCAAAGCATCTCATTTTCAGCAGGCGGTTGAGAATCGTCGAGGCAATCACGGGAAATCGATGTACTGTATAGTTCTTAACAACATCGGGTTTCCCTCAGTGTCAGGAGAAAATGCCGCGGATTTTTCTTTCACTAAAGGATATAAGAGGAAAAACGGCGGGGTTAAGAAAATGTCGGGGAGAGAACGCCTCACTCATAAATTTGCGCTAGGCACAGAAAATTATGCTTGTACTTGTCCTTCGTCGTAGTGTATCTAATGGCGAAGTTTGAATAGCCCTTGCTTCTAATTTTTCTGTATATGGGAGGTTTTCTTCTTCACAATTCCTCCTCTTGAGGATTTTTTTAAATAATGAACCAATTTAAAGTTATCTTTAATTTCCTTTTTTGTTGCGTTATTCTTAGCGTGATTTTCTTGAACATTGGTCTTTTTTCATCGCCTTCCCTCTATGAAATTTTGTCTCACAGCCCCGACATTTTCTTTCCCGCCGTTTGCTACATGGCGGTAATTTCTCAAACCTGTCTTTTCTACATAATTACCCGAGAGAGGATGTTTTATGGGATTTTAAACTGTGAAAAAGGTTATCAATGTTTCCGAACTTATAAAAGTGTTGAGTTAAGAAAATCAGCGAAAATTTGGAAACGTTTCCAATACCTTCCACTTCACCTGCTCACGTCTAGCCCCAAATGCGGAATCTTCTTTTCGCAAGGGAAGACGTCGATTTCGGCGTCAAACTAACTAAGGTAACTACTGCGTTAGCTGAAGCCCAAGGAGCACGACGGTACTCTGAGAATAAAAAAAAATAAAAAATGCAACCTTTGAAACAATTTAAAAATGATGCACAGCTCCTTGTGTGAGGCCTGTCTAGGTTGATGTTCCAATTTCCTTTCTCATACGTACGTCAACAGCTGGCTTTTTTCAGCGCGAAAGCTGGTCTCTCTGGGTATGAGTGGTGTCGGGGGTCAAAATAAGCAGGTGTTTTTCAGAAATAATTCCTTTCCTCAAGGGCATTATTCTCTTATCTGATGCTTCTTTCGCGTTTGAACGTCATTTTTCAGTGGGAATGAGGACAGAAGAAAAGCCATCATGCATTCATCATCAGCCTGAAAGAACAGGTGGTCCAGCGCTTTCACAAAGTATTTATGGAATAGCTAAGTCACTTTCATGAGTCCCATCTCCCAAAAGAAAGTTGACACTAAAGGACTTTATGAGAAAAGTTAATTATATATGTTTAAAAATTAATGTCCAGTCGGAGAAAAAATTCCATGTTCATCAAGATCAATCGTTCACAGGGTTTTCCTATCCCATTGAAGAAAATCTCGTGTTTTCTACCGGCATATCTGATTGAAAATTTATCTTCCGAAGTGGATTTCGTGCATCGTTGTTTGGTTCTCTTTGACACCTGCATCTTCCGGGAATACATCATAACAAACTTTTAAAATTCTTTTACATCATGCCCTCGATAAGAATGTTCATCTCTGAGCTCATCTACCGCTTCAAGGGGTGCAAACAAAAATATGCATTTTGAATCTTTCCATAGCATTTGTACAGTCCTTGACCGATAAATCTGTAAACTCTCCTTATTACTGAGAGTGCGCTATAATTTAAGAGAATTCTAGTGCATTTAGGAACGAGTCAACCCTGCAACACAGTCTACCACGCAGTGGACACATAATGCACCCATTTTACTGGTCAAATCTGCAAAACCTGATGTAAAACTTGAATTTCTTGAAACATTCCTCACCGCGCCACAACAATGTTACATTTTCTTCATTATTTTTATACATTCCTTGAATGATGTGAGCCTGGAAGTGTTGTCACTGCTTCAGCCCATATTGTGAAAATTCTGAGACCTTATCTCGGGGAATACCAGCTCTTCCCATTTGATTCCATGGACTTCTAGACACTTGATTGTGCACAATCAACCAAGTGTTTAGAAGTACAGTGAGATCCCAATATGGGTACACCCTAACATACAGACAATTAGGGACACCTGGAAACCAAAAAATAAAAAATAAATCAGGCCGGACATCCGTACATTTGCTTGAATTAGGGGCAATTTCTAAAATGTTCCCAAAAAATTGAAACATCAAATTTTTACATACAGACAATTAGGGACACCTGGAAACCAAAAAATAAAAAATAAATCAGGCCGGACATCCGTACATTTGCTTGAATTAGGGGCAATTTCTAAAATGTTCCCAAAAAATTGAAACATCAAATTTTTAAAATTTTGATGTCTTTTGAAGAAATCAAACTATGTATTTTCACAAAAATTGAAAATGTATTTCATGATGAATTCAATAATCTAATTCATAATAAAAAGCAAGCTTTTTTGCTTCTTTTTTCAGAATTTCTTTTATCATCTCTGCATATTCTGGCAAGACTTATTCTTTTTCTTTGCTTTTCGATCTCCTTTTGATGCCAAAAGATCAGATTCTATGTGGTTTTGTTCTGCACTGTTGTTTTCTACAACTTGAAGTTGAGCAAAACAATTTTTATTGCATTTTTGAGGACCTTTTTCTAATTTTTGAAAAAAAGGAGAGCCAATTAAATACATGAGGATTGAAGTCTAAAGGAAGATGAAACTCAACTTGGGGACATTCCAACATCAGGACACTCTTGATGCACCAATTAAGTCCACATCTTGGGCCCACTAAATGTGTTGCTGCTCATGCGTAGGGCAGGACATTCAAAAAAGTATCTATCGTCGAAATAATTTATTGTGAATATTTTTAACACTACAAAGACTTTCCACCGATACTTCACCCTTTGCTAAATTGCTACTCGATTATTCCTTCCACTCTATTAGACTACAGTTGTTCAGGATTGTTTAGTTGTTTAGGAAATTAATTGGTTTACAGCAAACATTTCCTTCTGGGTTTCTTCCGACGCACACTTGCAAGGACTTCTCGCTAAAATCAAGAAACCGGGGTTTATTATGAAAACAGGCTGGTATTATAGCGTTTGCTATCTTTTACGTAAAAAAAATTTCTGTATCAAGCAATTACACAAAGCCGAACTTTCATCGAGGAGCCCCTCATTCTAAACTACGAATCGCGATTTTGCCAAATTTACATGAAAATCTGGAATCTTTAGGACTGTTCGGTATTTGATTATGCATAAATGATAATTTGCAAATAAATATGTTTGGAAATCTGCCAGTTGAAAATTCATGTTGATGTAAGTCTCTCGCTTTCATTATTTTGAAATTTAATTTCGAATAACTAAAGATGAGTGGAGGAATTACAGTAGCTTGTGCAGGAACAAGTCTTCATACTGCCTTAAGCCCAGCATTTGCTTACAGTACAGTCGTATTTTAATCGTTTTATGCTGACGACGTGACGTATTGAGGAAGTTTTTATCTTGAATAAGTGAGGTTGTGAACGATCGAAACCGGAATATCAATGATCAATTTTCACGCAATCGTTCCAAATAAAAATGCGATAGAATCCTATTGTTCGATGAAAGTTTCATTTGAACTACAGTATACTGCGGATGTATCGAGTAAATGTTATCTTTTAGGACACTCCGCTGAAAATAAATAAAAACATGAGTTCACAAAACGAAAGATGTCTGCAGTTTTGAGTCGTAAAATATATTCCGTATTTTATTGAAGGGTTAGAGAATTCGCGGGTGCTCGAAGCTCAACCTTGTGGCACGGAGTCCGAAGTTGAACTGAAGCTCTAGCACTACCTGAGCTACGTCCTGATAAAAAGGACAACCAGAGATGCTTTTGCCGAGGTCGTTTGTCAAGCTTGCGAGACACTGAATACAGGCGTACAAGAAAGATCATAGCGATAGCGACGGCATCGCGGTTTTATGTCGACCCTTTGGCCGCTGGACTCCCGGATTTTGCGCCAAGAATTGCAGCTGACTCGCGAGAGCAGCTG